TGTTTGCCTTTACCCATAGATACTGTATACCAAATTTTGTTGAAATGACTACGACGACGGACGAAAACAGTTAGCAATAGGTCACCTGAGTTTACTCAGGTGACCTAATTAAAGAAACTAACAAAGTGTTAAATACCTTGAGATGATCGTTCATTGAGGAGATATTACTATTAATTTATCAAAACAAATGAAATTAATCAATAAATCCAAAGTTTATAATAAAATTGGCTACACTTTTCTGTGAATAATTCCCTAGTCAAAAATATTTAACTTTTCGAATTAATGAAATCCAAAAATTACACAAAATAAGTATAATATTGCAATTCAGCAAATAATTTAATAAATCAAAAAATTCATATATGAGCTAGCTTAAGTAGACCTACATCTTATCTAAGAAAGAGAAAAAGGCTTCAGTCCCCGATGAACAACGGAAACCTCTTTTATACTAATGGGAAACTAACGAAATCTGATAAAATCGAACGGTATACCCGTTTAGAGAAAACGGATAAACGTAACCGAAAATAGTTCTACATTGTAAAAACTTTTACTGTAAACGTATTACCTTTGGCAGTGTCTTCTTTTTAGCGTTTTTTGGCGGAAAAAAACTTCCGCTAATTAAAGTACAACGCTTAATGTCTTAAACATATATACATTAATAAGAGCATTAAGAAATGCGCTAAATCAAATCATCGCTAACTTGTTCAGAAATCAATATTTCCACCAAATATTTTACACGCTAAATATAATACATTTACAGTATTTCTGAATAAAATATCGAAAGGCAACATAAGTTTAATTCATTTACAATAATCAAAGTACATTATTAAACTTCGAAACAGTTCTTAATATTCAACGTGTAAACTTGGCGAAATAATATATTAGCCTGGCGGATAAAAAAAACACCAAAAAGCATTCCTGCGATGCGTAGATGAAAAATGTTAACAAGACGACTGGTTAGAAAAAAGTACAATTTGCAGCAAAATAAAGATATTTGCAAGATAAATATTTATATAATATTAAATCACACGTGATATAGACAATGCTATTTCCAACAGGACTAGATGATATGCCTTTATAAATGATTTACAGAACTCAAATATCATAAATGTCAAACGTAAAATAGATCTATACGTGTTTATATCATAGTTTCAACACGAATACAAGTTTATTAATGAGTTGTTTTAAAAGAAATTTTAAAAAATTCAGTTACTATGGCAACACCAACTCCTGTTGACAAAGGCTTAATCCCAAGTCCTATACCTTTCTCTTTCTTATTGTAAGTAAAATCCAGTAGAGCTACAGTTTCGTCCGACACTTGGTTTCATAATTGATTCACGCTACTGATTTCTATATTAGTTTGAAAGACCAAGTGCTAATATTTGTTATGACTAAATTACCATCATTTCAATTAATTCTTCCAAAGGTCTTCTATTATGTATTGACATTTATTAATACATGGTTATAAGATAATTACATACGAAAATAGACAATGTTATGACGATAAAGAATTTAGATATTTGTTTTGCACGTATATTATTTGTACACATTTCATTTTTTCTTCTCTGTGAGACAACTTCGAGATCTTTCTTTCTCATTAAAAGAAACCAATATCTGTGCAAAAGAAAGATTTAAACATGTGTTACATATACGTTTTAAGCTCAATTTTACTGATGGCTGGCGGACTTTGCCTTAACTGTCTCTACCTGTTTAGTCTTAGGCCAGAAAGAGGACCCAAGACTGTTATAGAGTTGTTGCAGACGGTCAAAACTGTCCATCTTTTCATTTTAGCTGCATGCAGCCTGTTAATAAACTGGAAAATGGGGACGTGCTTGGACTTTGATCAGTTTCATCCACTAAAGTGTCACATCAAAGGTACTGTACACATTTCTTGTCACAAAATATATTAATCTCACCAATATCACCTAGGTTATCGTTAGCACTTAATCCATCTCTCTGTTTGTCTCAGATTTTGGTTGGCAAACATGAATGATCAAAAACTGTGTGAATATATAGGAAAAAAACTCTTGTGAAGTAGAATAAAGCCATGGTTGGTCATATTTATATCGGATATCCTCAGGTAGACTACATTTATATTTGTTCAAAACATGACCCCTGGGACCATGGTGAGGCAAGCAAAGTTTCACCTTTTCAAATTACAAAAATTATTGAAATAGTATATTATAAAGTAATTTTCTTGACATTTTAGACTTGCTGAACGAGTTGATGTTGGGATCCATGCCAGGCACTGTGTTGGTGTTTGCTATAGTCCGACTTCGCCTATGTCTTTGTAAAGGAAACGCCTCCAAATTAGTGAGCAGAAGCTCTGCGATCTGCATGTACATAGCATGCGTATTATCTTCAGTAGTTTTACAAGCGCTTCTTCTTTCCCCAGAATTTTTTCTGGACAAAAATATAATTCTTCAGGATGTTATTGTTACACATTTTGATAATATGTCTGCAAGTTCAAGCGATATATGTTATAAATTTTTAAGCAACATTCATTCCGCCGTATTATTTTATAAATGGATCAATATCATTTTTTGCTTCGTCCTTCCACTTTTAGTGAGTGTCGCTATTTATCTCAAAATCAGCCTCTATGTTTACAAATCTGCAAACAGAGTACATATGCATTCCGTTAACCCTCCTCAGAATACCACAAGGAACGTCCTCGGCCCAAACCTTCAGCAGATTCATCGCTCCTTAATATGGGTTGTCTTTGTAATGGTCGTTTGCTGGGCTCCGCTTATAACTACTCAAATTGTGATGCTTCTACCAGCAGAAAGTAGATTTGCTTACGCATTTCAAGAATACTCGGCATTAATTTTACTTGTCCTATTTCCTGTTGAAGAAGGGATCATGCAAGGTGACAAACGAAAAAGACTTTACAAGCTTTACAGACAATTATTTTTCAAATCGCAACAACAGAATATTCAAACAACTGACAGATGTAATGATGCCATATTAATTCCAACTCTGTCACAGAGGGTTTCAACGTGCATTTTTAGTTGTAGTTTAGAAGAAGATGGTATACGTAAGTCATCTGATGTAAAAATTCTAAATTTAAACATGACCCATTTAGCAGGAAAAACTGTCACGTGCCGGGAACTGGCTAGCACTACCTCAGTTCATAGTTTTAGTTATTCTTCATCATCTAGTTTATTTTCGAGGCGACGTGGGCTTATGGTCCCATCTTTGAAGTTGTCAGCAGATTTACGATCTGAAAGGTCTTCTGTTTTCATAATTTCTAAACCTGGATCTCGGACTTCAATAGAACAGAGTTCAGTATTCTCATCCAGCAGCGAAACTTTCACGCCACTCTTTCTCCGATTAAATCGAGATATAAATAGTATGATCGGAGAGTATACACAAGACCTAGCATTAGAAACACTTGATTGCTCACCATACTCACTTCGGACAGTTTCCTTCAGTTCATCTGTGTCATTCGATGAACAGACACTAGCAAGTAACGACAGATTCTCTGCATCGCGAACCCGATCAAGATGGACACCTTTTTCCAGGAGTTTATCGTCTGCAGCGAAATATTCTGAATCTGACGATACTGTGTAAAAAGGATATTACATGATCGTTTAGAATCATGCAAAGTCTGAAATAGATAAATTGAAAATTAATACATGTATATAAAAACTCTATTTTTCAATTAAAGTTTGCAGAATTTGTCCAACATTTCTTCAAGCATTTTGTTCTTTTATTTTATACATAAATGGAATAAAAATTCATTTATGAATAGAAATGAAATGGCAAATATCCTTTTAAATATACTTAATATTTAAAATTTGAACATATTCCTTAAAAATTATCCCGATTACATCAAGTTAATTTCAATTCCGTGCTAATTTCACAAAAAAATATTAGTTTGATTTGTTATAATATGTTCCGTAGGATTGACAAATTAATTTGAATTCCGTACCAATTTCACAAAACTACTACACGTTGTTTGATTTGCTGTAATGCGTTTTGTATGGATAACAAATTAATTTAAGCAACTGCCAGATAAAGACTATATTAGTTTTATCTTTATCTCATAATGTATTTTATGAGGTCACCTGAGTAAATTAAAGTAAACTGAGTTGATCCATCTGTTTTTGTCCGACGTCGTGCGTTAGCATAAACATATTTAGCCTCCCTGCAACGACTCAACCAATTCCAACCAATTTTGGCATAAAGCAATTATGGGTGAAGGGGTCAAAAATTGTGAAATTTATAGTCCCTGCTTCCTTTTGGGCCTGGGGGTGGGACTAAAACCACGAAAATTAATGCAATCTTTAAATATCTTGTTTACTCCTGAACATCTAGCTGTCAAATTGTTGGCATGATTTTAATGAACATTCACATTAAAAACAATAAGATAATGTCACATGATTTTCGCATAATTTTCAAATAAACACAAAATCGTATGAATCTCATATGAGTCACATTTCCCTGTGTATAATATAGGTTTTAGTTAACTTAGTTTAAAGAAATCCATTTTGTTTTTTCTTAAAACTACTTTACCAATTGCAACCTTTAGAAAAAGTCGTGTGAAAACAAGATGTGTTTGTGAAACACTGATGCCCCCGTATGGCAACATAGCAAAGATTAAACTTTTCTTAAATGCAAATAAATTTAATGGTACCAAAGGTAGGGTATTCTCACTGGAAAACAATTGTGAAATTTAAAAGTAGGCCAATGTTAAAGTTTTTTCAATCAGTGCAAAATCTCCAAGGTCAAGGTCAAAGGGTCAAGGTAATCGGTATCCAATGAAAGATCTTGCCACATAGAATACTTATGTAGAGTATGGAAGCCTTAGCCCTAACCATTCAGAAGTTATGGCCAATGTTAAATTTTTTTTTGAAGTAGGTCAAACTCTAAGGTCAAGGTCAAAGGGTCAAATTTTCTTGTTAGCAAATGAAAGGTCTTGTCACAAGGATGAAATATGTAAAGTATGAGAGCACTAGCCTTAACCCTTTAAAATTTATGGTCAAGGTTTGCATCTTTAAAGTAGGTCAAACTCAAAGGTCAAGGTCAAAGGTAAAAGTGCTTGGTATCCAATGAAGGGTCTTCTCACAAGGATTACATATATAAAGTATGAAAGCCCTATATCTTACCGTTCAAAAGTTATGGCCAAGGTTAAAGTTTTTTCATAAGTACAGAAATCTACAAGTTCAAGGTCAAAGGGTCAAGGTTGTTGGTATCCCATGAAAGGTCTTTCAACAAAGATTACATATGTGAAGTATAAATGTCCTGGTATCTACTATTCAAAAGACCAAAGTAAAAGTTTAAAATTTTAATGTAAAAGTGGGTCAAACTCCAAGGTCAAGGTCAAAAGGTCAAATTTGGTGGTATCCAAAGCAAGGTCTTGTCACAAGAAATAAACATGTGAAATATGAAAGTCATAGCTCCACTAAATCAAAAGTTATGGGCAAGGTTAAAGTTTTTGCGGACAAACAGAGAGACAGAGAGACGGACGGACACGACAAAAACTATATACCCCCGAAACTTCGTTTACGGGGGCATAAAAATGTCCTCAACAAATTAAGAAATAATTATCTGTTTTCAAGAAAAACACAGTGACTCATAAACATTCTCTTAGGATAATTCGAAACACCTCCAGGTGATAATTTTTAATTGTATATATAGCATCGCGGGTGATAAGCTACACATACGTAATGAATAATCTCACCTGGCTAACATTGTGACTTTTCTAACGCATTTGCTGATTCAGAACCGTATCTCGTCTAATACTTATTACCTTTATATTCTAAATGTAGTTCCAATATAGTATTTAGGGCTTCTGTGAATTTTTTATGTCACCGTTATCGAAGAATCAGGGGTGAATAGTTTTTTCTCTGTCTGTCTGCCCGTCTGTCTGTTTGTTCCCCCCTCAAAATTTAACCTGGTCTATAACTTTTGAATGTTCGGGGTTATGGTTTTCATATTTTACAGATGAATTCCTTGTGACAAGACCTCTCTTCGAGTTTCACCAAATTGGACCACTTCCCCTAAAATTTAACCCGGTCTGTAACTTTTGAATGGCTGGGGTTATGGTTTTCATATTTTACAGATGAGTTCCTTGACACAAGACCACTCTTCAGGTTTCACCAAATTGGACCACTTGACCTTTGTGATACGGTATATCCAGATGAGCTTGCGATAAAAGATGCCACGAGTATGACACATCTGTTTCATACTTGGATATTTTACTCGAAAAAGACGTTAATGGTAATCTAACAACCAAGCTATATGATAAACGTGATGACTTTAACTTTTCCATCGTCAACTTCCCTTACTTATGCAGCAATATACCTTCATCACCTGCATACAGAGTATATATATCTCAGTTGATTCGTTACGCAAGAGCATGCTCTACGTATGAACAATTTCTAAAACGAGGTAAATTATTGACAAACAAGTTGATGAAACAAGAATATCATCAGTCTCGTTTAAAGTCATCATTTCGTGAGTTCTATGGTCGATACAATGACCTCGTCATCAAATACAATTAACATTGAGACAAATGCTGACTGACGTTTTTCATACCAAATTGTTAGTCCATTATTTATACACTGAATTGATGACGGATTTTTCCGTTATTTTACGATCATGACAAGGAACACACGGCGGGTGTGACCGGTCAGCAGAGGATGCCCACTCCTCCATGGCACCTGATCCCACCTCTGATGTTTCGGAGGTCCGTGTTTGCTCTGCTCCTATTCTGTATTGTTTTATGGACTTTGATATTGAATATTGTTCGTTATCTCCATATCCTTCTTGTACAGAAAATATCAAACTTTAACCTTGACCATAACATTTAAACATTTGGTGCACATGGGTATTCTTATGACAATAACTTTCAATGGATGTAATAAAATATTTGTAATAATATATCTTTGAACTGTTAATACTTAGGTCTTTCATATTTCACAGGGTTATTAATTCCTTGTGATAAAACCTTTCTCTGGATACCTACAATTTTGACTTGCATTTGAAAAATTATAACCTACTAAAACATCATACAATACCAGAAGTCTCTCTCGAGACTGTAGCTCTACTGGTTTGTACTCATAATAAAGGAAGAGAAAAGTAGCAGTGAGGGACTTAAAACTTTACAAAAGCAATAAATAGAATAATGCTTGATCCTTGATTACCTCTTTTTGTAGCAAGATTGCAGTAAGACAGCAACTGTAGGAGTAGTTTTTAATAAAACGTTACAAAATTTTCGATTTCAGTTACCATGACAACATCAATCATCAAAAATTGATAATTATGTATCTCAGTCTAATCTACTTGTGTGCCAAATTGTTGTATTATAATGTGACTAAATCTGTATTTGGAGTAGCATTTTGAAAGTATTTTAAAGAAATTTCATGAATATATTTTGATGAAAAAATTATTTTAAAACTATCAATATAAACGGTAAGACACTGACAGTGAGTTTTTCAATCCTAATACCACGGTCCGATTTTGTCAGAATCAAAATTAATCTGGTACCGCAGCTGAATGTAAACAAACAGGCCAGTCTGGTTCCCTCTCCTGCTTTACTTCGTATATGTAGAGAACTACGGTAACACAGATTATCAAAAATTCCTTACGCTAATGAACTATGTTCTTTGACTTATGAAGTTTTCAAAGTCATTACTACTAATGTTTATTTTATATAGATAAAACTTCGTTTTATTTTTGTTGCTTTATTTAGCGTTTGTATTATCTCAAAAGATTTTTGCACGAGAACATCCTGCCTTATCTTAGCCGGTGCAAGGCTAAAAACCGATAGAGAGAATTATGTATCTTAGTGTAGTCTACATGTGTGCCAAGTTATATTGAAATCAGACCAAAACTGTAGGACGAGTAGCATTTTAAAAGTTTGCAGGGAAATTTCTATTTTTTGTTACCACGGCAATATCATTCATCAAAATCAAAAACCGATATACAGAATTATGTGTCTTAGTGTAGTCTACTTGTGTGCCAAGATATATTAAAATCAGACCAAAACTGTAGGATGAGTAGCATTTTAAAAATATTTCACAAATTTCTATTTTTAGTAACCACGGCAACACCGTTCATTAAAATCAAAAACCGATATACAGAATTGTGTATCTTTGTGTGGTCTACTTGTGTACCAAGTTATACTGAAATCAGACCAAAACTGTAGGAGGAGTAACATTTTGAAAAATTGTTTACAGACGGACAGACAGAGAGACGGACCGACTTAGGACGCATTACCATCGTATTAGCTCTTCTGGTCTCTGACCAGTAGAGCTAATAATTCATGAGAAGGGATTGTGAATATCTAAAATTTTAAAACAAGAGGCCCATGGGCCTTATAGGTAACCTGACGATCATGTAACAACTTTTGACAATTGAATTTATTTCGTGTTTTAAACCAGAGGCCATGAAATTCATAATTTTGAAAGAGGCACTATTGCTTATCATAATTATACACTTACCATGCGTACTCTAGTTACTTAATACCCAGACATAGATCAGAGTAACAAAGAGAAAATGCACTTCCACTTTATAACCAGTTATGCACCTCACCCCAAAGGAACCACTAACCCTGGGGCCATTTATTTCAAAATTCTGGAAATTACATCATAAATTTTATTTCATCATAAATGGTTGATTAATACCAAAAAGCAGATTTCAAAGCATTAATTTATTTTCAGACTATGTAACCCCCCCCCCCATACCCCTGACTCAGGGGGCATGAAATTAACCGTTTTGCTAGATGCACCTTTTTTTCATAAAAAAAAAATATATATACTTAGATCATTGGCATAATTTAATACCCTGGAGCAAAGGAAAAGATTTTCAAAGAATTAATGCATTTTCACAATATAATCAAAGCCCCCCCCCCCCAAAAAAAAGCAAATGGCAAAACCCCTGACACAGGGTACATAAAAATTCACAAATTTGGCTGAGGCGCCATTCTTGCTCATCATAACTATGTACTTTATTTTGTTTATTTAATACCCTGAAGCAGAGAAGATTTTTAAAGAATAAATGCATTTTCACAATATAACCAATAGAGCCCAGCCTTAACCCCAAAACCCCTGACCCTGGGGCCATAATATTCACAATTTTGAAAGAGGCACTCTTGCTCATCATAAAAATTTACTTAGTTTATTTAATACCCAGGAACAGAGAAGAAAATTTTCAAAGAATTAATGCATTTTCATTGTATAATCAATAGAGCCCCGCCCTAACACCAAAACCCCTGACTCTAGGGCCATAAAATTCACAATTTTGAAAGAGGCACTCTTGCTCATCATAACAATGTACTTAGTTAGTTTATTTCATACACAGGAACAGAGAAGAAGATTTTCAAAAAATTAATGCCTTTTCTCTATATAACCAATAGAGCCCCACCCTAGCACCAGAACCCCTGACTCTAGGGCCATAAATTCACAATCTTGGAAGAGGCACTCTTGCTCATCATAACAGTGTACTTAGTTAGTTTATTTAATACCCAGGAGCAGAGAAGATTTTCAAAGAATTAATGCATTTTCACTATATAATCAATAGAGCTCCGCCCTAACACCAGAACCCCTGACCCTGGGGCCATGAAATTCACAATTTTGGAAGAGGCACTCTTGGTCATCATAACAATGTACTTAGTTAGTTTATTCAATACCCAGGAGCAGAAAAGAAGATTTTCAAAGAATTAATGCATTTTCACTATATAATCAATAGAGCCCCGCCCTAACACCAGAACCCCTGACCCTGGAGCCATAAAATTCACAAATCTGAAAGAGGCACTCTTGCTCATCATAACTGCGTACTTAGATTGTTAATTTGATACCCAGGAGCAGAGAAGATTTTCAAATAATTAATGCAATTTCACTATATAATCAAAAGAGCCCCACCCTAGCACTAGAACCCCTGACCCTGGGGCCATGAATTTCACAATTTTGGTTGAGAACTCAATGCTGATTACAATCATACCAACAGTTTGTATGCTTGATGTCCAGGAGTAAAGAAGAAGATTTTAAAGATTGCACTAATTTTAGTGGTTTTGGCCCCACCCCCATGGCACCAAGGAGCAGGGACCATGAAATTTACAAATTTTGTTCCCCTTTACCCATAAATGCTGTATGCCAAAATTGGTTGAAATTGGTTCAGTGGTTTCAGAGAAGAAGCTGAAAATGTTCAAATGTTAACAAACGACACACGACGCACGACGACGGACGAAAACGGATAGCAATAGGTCACCTGAGTTTACTCAGGTGACCTAAAAAAAACCCAGAAAAACGAAGATGTACTGTTAAAATTTAGTGTTGAATTGTAGTGCTAGTTTTTTAGCTCTACTGTTCAAGGACCAGAATAACTTATGCAACAGAAAGGTGTCCGTCTGTCTGTTTTTTGTTGTTTTTTTTCAAAATTCTACTCTTCCTACAATTTTGGTCTGATTTCAGTATTATGACCGGTCAGCAGGCAATGCTCACTCCTCCATGGGACCTGATCCCACCACTGATGTTTCGGAGGTCCGTGTTTGCTCTGCTCCAAATATGTTTTGTTTTATGGATTTTGAATTGAATACTGTTCGTTATCTCCATATCTTTCTTGGCACACAAGTAGACTACACTAATAAATTCCATATATCGTTTTTGATTTTTTGAACATGTTTTACTGGAAATTTCTTATCCAGGAGCATTACGTCGCGCGTTCGAATCCCACTGCGTGATATGGCGACCGCTCCTTTGGATGAGACCGTATTATCCAAGGTCCTCTGTTGCAGTATAGATAAAGGCCACTCATTGCTTCTTGGTCATTGTTTAGTATAGGGATACAATTGTAGTACTTAATGTTTACGGATAGTTTTCACCAACATGGGCCTAGGATTTTACATATCGTCAATCTTTATTTAACTAATCATTCACCAGAATGGACCGGACGTACATCCATGCGCTCCGGATATCGTTGTAAACAACTGCAACTTCACGTAACATTTCGATGAACGATGTTGCCGTGGTTACTAAACATAGAAATTTCTTGGAAATATTTTCAAAATGCTACTCCTCCAGCAGTTTTGTATGGGGCGCCGTTTTGGTATTTACTGCCAAAAAGTGATATCACCTATTCGAATAGACCAGTGCACTCATCACTACCTGCAAAGAAATGAAAATTTTAAATGACTTGTATTAACCCTTTTGTATTTCATCTGGCTTGTATTTTAGTACTCATTAGCCTTTAGCTTCCTTCAAACAAAATTTCATCAGTACCAACTTGTAGGTGAAAAATGTTGAAACAGTTTGCTTGTCCCAAAGGAAATTCTTTTCCATTTAATGAATTATCAGTGTCGTGAGCATTTGATTGATGTCAGTTCCATCGGCAAAGTATTTGTAGCGGAATAATGCCAGATGAAACACTTTTCACAAGACCCTGGAAAAACATCAGGTAAAAGTGATCATCTACAAGAAAAAACGTGAATACTTTCTTGAATACTAGTATTAACAATAATATAGTAAAACTCGGTAATAGCGAAGTCACTGGGACCTATTTGCTATATCCATAATTCATTATATCCGTATAAGGAATTTTTAAATTTATATAGTAGGGGATACGAGATAACTTTGCTATATCCGTGAATTTGCAATACATGTATCTGTGTTCGTACTAAACGAGTTTTACTCATATTGTATAACATGCCTGTGTATATCCTTTATATAAAATTAAACTAGAGGTACTGTGAGCAATGAGCTCACTAAATGATACCCCCCGCCTCCCATAATGTCGATGTGTTGCTATATATTGTTTTACGGTAATGTGTAAAGAGGAATAACTCGTCCTATCAAATGTTATCCAGAAGCTTCTATTATGTGACGTCATAGGTAAACAAAAAATGGCAATGTCCATGTTTTGCTCTGGGAAACCTAAAATACGTGTCGAATTAAAAAGTAAAATAGGAGGTGCACAATGGCAATATGTAATAAAGATTCTGTGAAAGTTTCATTAAATTTCACTCAGTAGTATGAGAGGAGTTGCGGATAAGAGAAAAAGCGTAACAGACGGACGGACGGACGTACAGACGGACGGACGGACAGACAGACGGACGGACGGAATTAACGATTACTATATACCCTCCCGCTTTTCAAGCGGGGGTATAAAAACTAAATACACTACCAAATATAGAAAATTAAACTAAGACGTCCTTAAATTTATTCTAAAGTGTATTATACTTAAGAATTTTTAAGAAAAGAATATTCGTTGAAACAAATGTGCAAACATTCTGTACAGTTAGCAATTTTTATGCAGAACTTACTTATAAATGTTAAATGTGCATTTCAATCGTTAGAATGAATGTAAGGCAGACCTGGGGTCAATTACTTTAAAATGTAATGCATTAAATTACAATTACTTTGGAATTTTTATCATTACAATTACAATTACCATTACTCTCATTCAGAAAAGTAATTAATTAAATTACAATTACTTTGTTAAAGTAATTAATTACATTACACATTACATTTTATAAGACAAAAACAAAAAACGTATGACCACACAATTTATATCTATAAATTTACAGTATTACTTTCACATTTTGTGCTCGGTTAATATGCTTTACCTCAGATCTATAAATCAGAGTGGTACATGTATTTGGATTCATATATCATGTTCATGTAGTTTATCAATCAAGTCTAGAGTTGACAAAGAAAGTGGATCAGAACACTTTCAATGTTGTAGTTTTGTTCAATCTCTGATGTTAGTTTCTCTGTTGTATTTTTAGATATATGATTCATTAAACATTTACAAATATATGTTTTATGTAAACTAATATTTTATTAACAGATTATGCTATAGATGTAAAACAACTATCCAAAATTTAATGAATTAATAATTAGTACTTTTAATTAGCTGAACAGGTATAATCAATGAAGCCATAAATTAAACACAACCAAAGGTGATAATTACAAGTACATTGTACCTAAAGGGTGTTAAGAAAGTTCATTCCAGATTTTTCTTTTATTTTCAAAAAGAAATACGATGAGAAAATATTTACAATTTATGATATTTCATGTTTACAGAGTCCATTCTTGCTACTGATAAGGTTTTAACTGTCTTTTGTTGAATCAATAAGGGAAGGGCTGGCATTAAAACAGATGATGTCTGTGTAGAAAAAATAGGGATGCCATATATTTGTGAACTATACTAAGCACACAGGTCAAAACATCCTTTCAAATACTATGCAAAAATTATCAAGTCAGTGAAAAATTTCAAAATGACAAACCTGTTCTTTTAAAAAGTAATTTATATTCTTATACTTAGTATGGTCATCAGCTGTCTGAGGTAAAATAATCCATGAAGAAACAAAAGTAAATTATTCTATATTTTCACTCAAAATGACCAGCATTTCTGTCATTCGGGTGCTATAAAGATGTTACATTTATTTTCATATGGTGAAAAAATCCTATAACGTCCTGCTAGACATGAATTGCTATAAATCTAAAACACATTCTACTGATTTTGTCAGACTTAAAAATTCATCTCGTTAGTTAAGCACTACTTTGAGATTTTTGAAAATATTTCATCATGGAACGAACTTTCTTAACACCCCTTAGATATAGGATTTGAATTTTGAGGCCTTAAGCTACCAAAAATGAATGATAGACAATATATCAATATTTTATATTTGCCTTAGTTTCCCTTTGCGTCTACAATAAAACATACTGATCTTGTATCATGTTTACCAACTAAAGTTCATTTTACCGAAATGAAAAGAGAAAAAAAAGGAGAAATATACAATTTGTATCTTACTTAATTGAAAGTCTCACTATACATGTATTAATGTCACTTGTTTTATATCTTTCTTTAAAACCTGATGATTTCTTTTAATTTTTTTTCTGGCTCTTATTCAATTGATTTCACAACTGTCTTGTCAAGAAGTTTTCTATTACAACAATTATCTAGTATGTTCATCAATTACCATTGAATAATTGAAAAAAAAATTGTAGGATATAAGATTTTAATTTTAAGATTCTAGTAACACTATTAATAAAACAAATAACCTCTTAGTGATATTCATTTGTGTCAGATTCAAAAATAAAAAGAAACTAATATACAAAATGTAATTGAAATGTAATTGAAAAGTAATTGGTCATTACTGACATTTTTTTAAAGTAATGCATTACATTACAATTACTTGTAATTGAAGATGGATCCATTACACATTACATCCCATTACTTTGAAAAAATGTAATGATTACAATGCATTATCATTACACATTACCATTACCCCAGGTCTGATGTAAGGCACACAGTAGGAGAATAGTTCTTGTTAATAAGTTAAATAACTTGTTATTTACTGATTTTTTTTTTAAGAAAATGTAATAAAAAATTAAACTAGCATTTACATGTATATGGTCCCTTGATTTACCATGGTATGTGAACTTTTGTGAATTTGATACTGAACTAGTAAGTTTTAAATATTGAAGTAAAGAAAAGTGTTGCCCAAAAATTTACCTTGTACCTGATTTAAAATGAATTCCATCAGTAACTACTTGGAAGTTGTCATATGAGAGAACTATGAGATAAACCGCATTAACAGATACCAGTACAAAGATGACACATTCAGTTGAAGCATTGTCCTTTTTTCAGTACCTTCTGGAGCCCTGTAACATAGATAAAATGTTGTATTGTTGAATGATGGATATCCTATGACCCCAGTGGGGGCCTGTAAGGAGACACAGTTAAATTGTTGTAGCTACATGTACGACAAGTGAGAAAAAATCCAATTTCTAATCAAAAGCGGATCCAAGGCAAGTGCGATGGGCATGTGCCCCCTCCCAAATTTGTTTATGAAATTTTGCTTATGCTATTCTAAAACCAAAGGGAAAAAACCTTAGGTGTTTCCTCAGTTTTATGGGGGCTTTGCCCCTGCACTCCCGCCAGGTCTTTTCCCTTCAATGCAGGCACAAGAACCATTTAACTACTACTGCATCCCCCGTTATGCAATTCAGTCTCTGCTCATAAATTCCTATTTTAGGAAAAAAAATGCCTGTCTCATAATTCTAAGAGTATTTGGGAAGGGGGTCATAAAGCTTTACAGTTAATATAGAAATCGAAATGGAATGTATACATGCCTGTGTACATGCAAGAAGTAATGATTGACATTTTTATTTCTGGATCAACAGGATATAGTACATAATTAGCTCATCTCTACTTTAATGATTCATGCATAATATTATTAATAAATTAAATAACGAATGTTATTTCTATCAGGATCATGTTTTAATGTAGTTATCAGCCCTGTATTCCCGTGATGGATGCATTTGGGTACATGTACATGTATTTCCAATTTTGTTTTCAATGACTGCATTCTCAGCTGATTCTACATGTATATCAGAGCCTAATTCTATTGTCCCTTGAGCTAAATCAATGAAATAAAATTATAGAACCAATCTCTGGGATCCTTTTAGTTTGAAAATACACGTTTTCATCTGAAAAACTATTTTAATATTCCTTTTCTGCTTTAGAATGTTCGCTAATCTTGTCCCATTCAGAATAGCTTGTATGTACATCGTTTTATAAAAAAAAATAAAGCGATTAAAGGCTGTTTACCTGTTTTACTCAATCCATTTTCTCCTTTTCTTTTCAACAATCGGGAGACAAACGATATGACAGGCTCTACTACTCCACTGCGAGGCTTAAAACCCAATGCGAAGCGGTAATCCATTGTCTCCAAGAACGCTCAGATACCCGGAATTTATAAAAGGAAAGTGAAAGTAAACGAGACTTACAGGCCCTTACTGTTTTGCGTTTATTTTTAATCAACCTTAATAGAAATTGTAGTTTGTTTTGCTCACAAATTAATTTATTTCACTTATCTATCAAGTAAACTTTAAGAAAAATTGGAAAAACGCATGAAAACTGGATAGTCCGAATTTTCCTATTCACCTATTCGAATAGGTGATATCACCAATTCAAATTGAATAGGTGATATCACTTATTCAAATAGGTGATATCACCTATTCAGCACAAATAGGTGATATCACTTATTCGAATAGGTGATATCACCTTTTCATTTCCAATAGGTGATATCACCTATTGAAAATGAATAGGTGATATCACTTATTCGAATAGGTGATATCACGTTTTGGCAGTAAAGACCAAAACGGCGCTCCATAGTTTTGGTCTGATTTCAGTATAACTTGGCACACAAGTAGACTACGCTAAGATACAAAATTCTATGGTCTGATTACAATAAACGTTGCCGAGAAAAAGACTAAACAAATAACTTTTTTAATGTATGCTGTTTCAAATTCAAATGTAACTTTTCTCTTTGTACAGGTTTAAACCTGTAGAGCTACAGTCTCGGCAGAGACTTCTGGTTCTTTCTTTCCTTCGTTTTTATGGCTTCTTATTTTTTTCTTTGTCCTGAGGAAGGAACATGTCCCGAAAATTTGACAATTTTTATTCGTGTCGTTGGTCATTTTTAGTGCTTTATATGAAATTCAATCCGTGTTATAAGAATGTGCAAAATTTAATCAAATAAAAGTTATGACCATCTTATCCCGAGAATCTGATAATTTCATGGTGTTATTAATTTGTTATAACTATTCAAATGCATTTCTCCTGACAATTAAAGGTAGTAGATTGTGATGGGTCAGAGTCTGGGTGCAGATCAATGGCGACGTCTGCATGGTTCGTGTCGTACTCTGCATCACCGCGGGTGTTGTATTCGGCATCACCACCGGTGCCGAACTATGCAAAACCACATGCGGGAGCAACACTTTGAATAATCACCGATCTCGAACTCTGCATCGATACTTCATGGCATCCTCATTTATGGTAATACCTACAGTTTCTTTATTTTTTTTAACCTTTTTGAATTTGGAAGATGGAATTTTACGACTGCACAAAGACTTCAATCTAGGAATGATTTGTCTTCGAGGTTTTCGATAGACATCATGTTTTCAGACACAATGCGGAACAATAATATCTTCGCATTGAAGAGGGATGTCAACCGCTGAAACGGTATACATGATGTTGTCTAAATTCTTCATTTATTGTTTCTGGTATTTCTGACACGCGAACCATAAGTCCATACTGTTCTAGTTCATAAATAAATTCTTTGTAGACACAGATATTTGTTTCGTTGTTCGAGATACTGGTATTCTATTTTTTTCTTGTAGGGGTTAGAATTCTGTAGTTTAAAGCACTTCACTTTGAACAACGCTTTGAATTTAGTGATTAGTGACGTAAAGTTAGTGCCAAGTAAAAATTTCTGCTATCCTTTTCATCATTATCTCATTATAAATTGTATTGTACCCTGGTACCACAAAAATAAGAAACATGATGTTGCTTCATGCTCACTTGATCCATCTGTTGTGAGTTCAGCACCTCTGATATTTTCAGATGTTTGCTTTGATTTAAGCTATGGACAGGCTCTTGTTCCTGCGTTTTGTCAAGTGATTACTAGACTTCATCGATGACTGAATTATGTCACTGAACGATCTGGACATGTCTAATGAAACTTTTCTAATACATCGTTCGTTTGACGAGGTCTGTTACTCATTATATGATATGATTTTATTCGGTTTTAATACTTATTGCTCTACCTGAGCGTCTGTGTAATAATCTACGAACAGACTGGTGTATATTCTAGTTATCGCTCTTTTCCAAGGCCACTGAGCCATTCCACTTTTCAGGAAAGTTTTCAGTCCTGACCTCTGTATGAATATTTATTTGTTCCGGATTTTTGTGAAAGAGTGGGGACATTTAATTTAATTCTTCTTCATGAATGTCTGACTGTTACAAAAAAATTAATCTCTCATAACTTTTGAATGAGAGAAGATATGGCTTTTATATGTAACTTGGGCATCATCTGTGACAAAGCCATCGCAAATTTTTATAAATTTCACAATTGAACCATTTTTCTTTTTAAAGAAATAATTTTTTTTTTTACCAATGAGTGTCCTTCATTTTTATTTTCATAAAAAAAGGCTTTTAAAAAGATTGGTTTCAATGGTGTGTTTTTTTAAATAAAACAACATGAATGGGCTGTTGATTGTATGGCTAGCCCCCTGACATGCCCCCTGTTCCTCTTCTTATCAGTTTATTATATCGCTATAAAAAAATATGACTTGATAAATAAATGCAAAATAATTTTGAAAGAAATTTTTAGACTTTTCACGCAGTGTACCCTTTTGTCAGCGATCCATGTCGCCTGTTGTGACTGTGTATCGTCAAACCATGTTATAGTGCATGTTTATCGGTATATCATGTAGACAAGTAGCTGATTATATCGATTCGATTTACATATCTTTTTGTCCTAATCTTCACCATTTAAATGACTGCATCACTTTTGCACAGTCATGCTCCTTTCAAAATTGGACGAAATGTTTATCTTGCATTTTAATTTCTTTATGAGTAGTAAACTTTTTAGAATGGATATCGTCTTCCAAGGTGTGAAAGATATAAATGTCTAATATCTTTCACTATTCATTTAACTCTTACAACTCTTATAAGGTGATAGAATATTTAACAAACAGGAGTAAATTCAGGTGACCTATTGCTATCCATTTTCGTTCGTCGTTGAGCGATGTTCCTTATTATTTGAACATTTTCAGCATTTTCTCTGAAACCACTCAATAAATTTTGGTTTATCGCATCTATGGGTTAAAAAATCTAATTCTTTACTCCTAGACATCAAGCAGTCAAAATGTTGGCATGATTGTATTGAGCATTGAGTCCTCTACAAAAATTGTGAAATTCATGGCCAATGATCAGGGGTTCCGGAGTTAGGACGGGGTTCTGTTAAATAAATTTTGCAGATAAACTCCGAAATGGCTGTACAAGAGTTAATTCTCTAGGAATACAGTTGATATAAGGTGCTGTCCGTTAACTACTAGTACATGTATATTGAGATTTCACTCCCTTATAAAACATTAAAACGTAATTTTCGCAAATTTACTAAAAAAAAGTCTGCATTCATTTTCAGTTTAGGGCCTCGAGATAGCAAAAAAAAAAAAGATATAAAAATTAAATTAAATTAAAAGAAAAATGAAAGTGATGGTTCTGGTCTGTGATCTTAGTAATTTTCATTTTTCGCCGGGCTTTGCTGAAAGCAAAGTCCTGGCTATAGGCATAATGAATTATGTATCTTAGTGAAGTCTACTTGTGTACCAAGTTATATTGAAATCTGACCAAAACTAGAGGAGAAGTAGCGTTTTGAAAGCAGTTCACAGAAGTTTCTATTCTAAGTAACCAAGGCAACATTGTCATCTAAATCAAAAATCGATACACAGAATTATGTATCTCAATGTAGTCTACTTGCATGCCAAATTATATTACAATAAGACTAAAACTGTAGGGGGAGCAGAATTTTAAAAGTATTTCAGAAATTTCTATTCTAAGTAACCACGGCAACACGATTCATCGAAATCAAAAATCGATATACAGAATTTAGTGTAGTCTACCTGTGTGCCAAGTTATATTAAAATCAGACCAAAACTGTAGGAGGAGTAGCGTTTTAAGGAATTTCACAGAAATTTCTATTTTTAGTAACCACGACAACACCATTCATCGAAATCGATGCACAGAATTATGAATCTTAGTGTAGTCTACTTGTGTGTCAAGTAATATTGAAAATCAGACCAAAACTCTAGGAGGAGTAGCATTTTGAAAAAATGTTTACAGACACACGGACGGACAACGGACACCTTACTATTGCATGAATCTGCATGGATTCTTCTGGTTTCTGACCAGTAGACCTAAAAATGCAGTGAATTTTCGTTTCGATACCCACAATTTGTACATATTGGTGATTTTTTTCAGGTGGTCTTTGAAAAGATCAGCATTAAGGTTACTACATTTATACCTTAACTGACAATGTATTATGTTATCAATTCGAATACAATAGTTGTATAATTTGTATTTATTTTTCTGAATAAGAGTGGTAGAGTATAATTGATTTTTGAAAGTTTGTAATGTAGGGAAGTTTCTAGAATCATCAGATTAATTTTTCCACAAGGATATTATGGATGGTACAAAACTATTGTTGTATGACACTGTTCTAATAATTGTGATTCGATATGAATTAGGGTTGCGCAAATTATAATAATGCTGAATTGGCATACATCCTTCAAGCATATTATTCATATAATAGGGGTAAGATTATTAAGTATTTTATACATCAATGTGTCTGAGCTTATGATTTTCCCTTCTTCAACTTTAAGTGTCCCATCCCAACTCTTTTTTTTATTACTTTTTGATGAATCACACCTAATGCCTGTAATTATTCTTGCAGCTTCCAACTGCACACTCTCCAATAATTAGGTCTTTAGATTCTTCTTCAGTGCAATTATCCCATACCACATCCCCATATTCTACTACTGGTCGAACAAATGATATTTTGATTAAGGAATCCCTCTTTAATTTATATTTTAGTGTGCGCAGTATGTTTAATTTTATGCAAGCTTTTTCATAAATTGTTGTGATATGTTCTGACCAACCCCCATTAGACTGAAGTGTCAGTCCGAGGTGACAATTACTTTGATTCTGGGAAATTATATTCATTGTGTTCCCAAATGAAATATTTGGGTGTACTCCTTGAGTTTTAGTAAAATCGACATTTACAGTCTTATTAGGGTTGAATTCAACTAGCCATTGATGGGACCACTGCCTTATTTTTTCAAGGTCAGCAGTAAGAGATACTGCTGGGTTATCTATGTCAGCATCAACAATTACAAACAAGGTTGTGTCATCTGCAAACATTCATATTTGATTTTGTGTGTTTTCAGTAATATCATTAATATAAATAAGAAAAAGAAATGGTTC